CCCCCCCCCCCGCAATATGTTTTTAAATCGTGGCTTCTCTCGGCTCCGGGGTCTGCTGGGGACGGTGCTTTTCCTTTAGAGGCTGTTTGTGAGGAATGACCTTTCTCAGTGGGAAGCATGTTGCTCGGGACCGAGGACCTTCGATGTACATTAAGAGTTAGCCCGAGGAGTTGGGGTTCCAGCCGAACCACTTGCATTTTCATTCATAATTAAGGCTTAAAAATGGGCTTTTTCTGATCGGCTGGCAGGGCACGGGGTCCAGCTATTTTCTTTCTCATCGTATAGGGTGCTATGTCCTAATTTTTAAGTGTGTGGCTGCGCAGGCAGGGGTTGGAACTCGTCCAACTGCTAACTATTGGAGCTGATGAAAGATTTTGCTTTTAATAATATCAGATAATGATGGCAAAAATAAAGACCAGAATAACTACCAAATAGTGAAATAAGGGATTTAGAAATCCGGAGGGGACAACAACAACAACAACAAAAAAAAGTGTGGTTATTTGTGCTGAAGGTATAAGTAATGAAATGTGGAAGTGGAGCTATAGGTCTTTTTAATTTCACACATTAGAAAAATCGTTTGTTAACTGCTCTCTCCCCCTCCCCCGAAAGCATGATAATAATTTCTGAAATTGGGTTTTTTAAACAACTTAGAGCTTGCAAATGTGCTCGAGATATTTACAGCTTTTTTTTTTTTTTTGGCTTAACATCAGCATGTTAGAGCTGGAAAATAAGCACCTCTTGCTAAAAGAGCAGGAATGACCCTTTTTTGACAATTTCGCTGAAGCTGGAGATCTGTGAGCTCCTCTCTGCCCTGTTAGCACCTAAATAGGGCATCGCATGGCAGCGCAGGCACTTGCAGCAACTTTTAAGAGAGTGAAAGGATTAAATTCAAAAACTTAGACACACTAACTTCTTTAAGAAAGCAGGAAACATTTAGCTAGCTGGTTTATCCTGGGGACAAGGGCTGAAAACCGATTTGTCCCACAGTAATGTATTTATTTTTTTTTCCTAAAAGCAGCTAACTGTCCGTATCTTGAATTAAGGCATATTTTACACAATGACATAGCATCCAGCTATATTAAACAAGCATCCGTGTCCTAACAATGCTTCTTATCGCTGCCTAATCATAACTGAGTTAATGAACCACAACAAAAATCAAAACAGGAGAATCTGTTGACTTATTTTCAATATGTATCATCCCGAAATGTGCTGTGGGTGCATGACCACGCTCGAAAGAGCTTCTCTGTCACTACACTCTCCACAACTGAGATAATCTCTCCATAATCTCCCTCTCAATTAAAACAGAGAGAATGCCCCTGTATTGATACAAATGAATTTATATTTTTCCTTTGCATTTATGTTTAATTAAACAACTTGCCTCGCTCTGTGCTTTTTACTCCTGACCAAGTGTACCTATGCAGGCCTCAGATACATGTCCTGCCCTTGTGCTCTTCGTCAGGCTAATTCAATTAATGCTTTCTCCTTCTTCGCCTCCCTCCCCCCGAGTGAAACTTTGCAAAATAAAGGGGGTTTGCTGTAAGGTTGTAGCCCACTCCCAAGAGCATCACCTTTTCATATGCTTTTTTCTCCCCCCTGGCATCTTGAACTGAAGCCCTCACTCCCCCAGCCTGAACACAGAGAAGTCCCACTTAAACCAAATAAACGTTTTGAATTCACAAATAATACAGCCTGGGCCCTCAAAAAAAAAGGGACCAAAACGTCCAGATTTTACTGAAGAGAGAGAGATCGCAGTGCTCTTGTTTGTTTTTACATCGCTTCCATCTCCAGTCAGAAGTGAAAGAAGTGGCACATACGGAGCTGGAAACCTTGGGGCACAGGGAAATCTCCTGCCCTGAATCCCAGCCTTTCTTATCTGCACTTTTTTAGAATATACTGGGCTGCTTTACAATCTAAACGCTGCAGCAATTCTATTTATTACAGCTTGCTTTTTTTTTTTCTTAAAAAGCCTAATGCATGTTTTCACACCAGGAGAGTTTTTCAGTAAATGCCTGGTAGAAATCGTACATTATGCTAAATCTAATGCACTGCAAAGCTCATTTATGCAGATAAATTTTTTAAACTAATATTTCAAATCAATGTGTGGACGTTTCTAAGAAAATAAGAAAGGTATTTTTTCGAATCTGGCGTTTGTCATGAGACTAATTACAAGCACAGGAAAATGCTGCCTATAGGCTGAAGATTATACATTACTGTGTTCATTTTTTGAAAGTCTTTGAGAAAACAAAAAATTAGGAATTTGGGGGGAAATCGGTGCAAGCAGTTAAGTCCCACATAAGAGAGATTTAAATTCTAATTATGATAGTTTTATGATGCAACTGAGAAAATTTAAGAAGCTTTTTTTTTTTCCCTGAGAGGTACAGTCAGAAAATCCAAATTTTTTTTTTTTTTTCCCTGAGAGGTAAAGTCAAAACAACCAAATTTTTTTTTTTTTTTCCCTGAGAGGTAAAGTCAAAACAACCAAATTTTTTTTTTTTTTTCCCTGAGAGGTAAAGTCAAAACAACCAAATTTTTTTTTTTTTTTCCCTGAGAGGTAAAGTCAAAACAACCAAATTTTTTTTTTTTTTTCCCTGAGAGGTAAAGTCAAAACAACCAAATTTTTTTTTTTTTTTCCCTGAGAGGTAAAGTCAAAACAACCAAATTTTTTTTTTTTTTTCCCTGAGAGGTAAAGTCAAAACAACCAAATTTTTTTTTTTTTTTAAAAAAAGGGAATTTTTAGACAACAGAATATAGTCACAGTTTACTAGTGGTGTAATTATGAAAGTATAATATAATATACTGTTTTTAGAAGAAAACTTCAGGAACTTTGAAACATTCCATTTAACTTCTCCTTTCTGGGTGACATAATGAAACACAAATATTGGGGAGAAAAATTTCTTCTAGCATTTATTTTTCTTAGCAGACAGAACTATGGTACAGTCCAAATATTTGTTTTATGATAATGCACAGACAATGTAAACACCTGAAAGCTTATAAAAACACATCCTACATTTACTGTAAAGTATCTGTTCCTCAGAGACCCTATATTTGATGTTTAACGAGATTAAACAGTAATGCAAAGGTGTGTCGATACTTAGGCAAATAAAACCGAACCACACTTAATTTTTGTATGTTAAGAAACTGAGATAACCCGCGTTAAAAAAAAAAAAATAATGTTATTGTGTTCCCATTGTACACCGCCTGTTGCAGACATTAATCTCTCTGAGACAGAGAGCTGTTACCACCGAAATGATAATATCTTTCACATTTTCACCGAGTTTAGTTAAAAAAAAAAAAGCATAAAAACTAGATGTTCTGGTGTCTCGTTAGTTTTATAGTGGGGCTCTTCTGTCTGTTTTAAGGGAGAATTGAGCCGTGACAAACCCCAGAGATAAGAATTGAGGATCTGAAGCCGGTGCTGGAGCAAACCCCCCCCGCGGAATTCAACTCTTCTTTTTCTTTCATAGGTAATGAAACTCGGGAACCCCGAAATTGCCAGGAGGTTGCTAATTAACGGTGCAGACCCCAATCTGAAAGACAGTACCGGTTTCGCTGTAATTCATGATGTAGCCAGAGAGGGTTTTCTGGACACTTTGCAGACTCTGGTGGAGTTTCAAGCTGATGTTAACATTGAGGATAACGAGGGCAACCTGCCCTTGCACTTGGCGGCCCGGGAGGGGCATGTGCGGGTGGTGGAGTTTCTGCTGGAGCGCCCGGGGTGCAGGGTGGGCCACCAGAACAAGCGAGGGGCCACCGCCTACGACCTGGCCAAGCTTTACAGGAGATCCGACGTGGTGAAGCTCTTGGAGGACAGCAGCTTGCTCCCTGAAGACAGGAATTAAACCCAGCTCGGACCTGCTCTCCTTTGGACATTAAGGCTTTCAGCCTTCTTTTTTCTTTTTTTTCTTTTTTTTTTTTTTTCCCTCCTTTTAAATAACATTTGTTGCAACCTTGCTTCTATATATATATATTTTTTTTTTTTTTTTTTGGAACAGCTGGTAGTATAAGTCTCAAAAAAAATTCTAGAGGTGGGTTTGTAGGGGATGGAAATGTTTTAAATCCACTCTCTCTGCGATTTCTTACATCTTCCATTTACTCAGCTATATCTGCGTTGGTTGCTCCTATTTAGTTTTCCAGTATCAACTTTGACAATTTATTCTCAGTCATTCGTTATAAGTCATTAATACCAGAGCTACATATTCACACGCTTAACGTTGCTGGACTTTTAAGAAAAAAAAGAAATAGCTTACTGTGATTTCTCCCACCTCTCAACGCAACTCCCTCTTTTCCTCCTTCCCCCCCAACCCTTCCTCTCCTCCCCCTGAAGATTCTGAAGTCCTGTTTTGGATGAAAACAGCTTTTTTCAGGGGTAACCTGCGGCCGCCTGCTCAGGCAGAGCTTCAAGGCTGCTTGGCCTGAGGAGGGAGGGCAGCGCTCAGAGGCTTTGGGAAATAGCTGCATTTTAACACTAACAACAGCTCGTAGAAGTAGGTCACTTACTTACTTTCTAAATGTAGATGGCACTTTCCCTCTTTGTGTATTTAAACTTTCACCAAGCTGGTTTTGAGTTTAGTCGCCAGAGTGTGCCGGTGTAAGGGCTGGGTTTGTTTTTTTTTGGGGGGGGGTTGCTAGAGACTCGAAACAGCTCGGGTTAGTGGCTGGTGTTTGCTGGGCGAGGAACGAGGCGGCTTCTCTAGTTTCAAAACAAGCAGCAGAGAACCATTGTCAGAGGCAAGAGGACACGAAGGCTGTAACACACGTTTTCTGGTCCCTTCATAAGCCGAGTGCAGTTTAGATGCTCTTTAAGAAACATTTGCTTTCCACCAACTCTTCTGCTTTGCCTGGAAATAAACTATTTTAAGGGTAGATGCATCTCACAAAACCAGGAATGTTTGAATGCTGTGACATTTAGGAAGCAACACGTTTTAATAGTCGGGAAGATATGTTATTGCTTGCGCCTAAAACGCAATTTAACCATGGAAAATTTTCCATTGCAGTACAGTTCAGAGTATTCGTGAGACCCAAATTCATTTCCCTCTCCAGCTAGAGATGTTCTGCACACTTTCGGGAAAGAGTTTAGCATGAAACTTCTAACATTTGTACGGGATCTAGTTGCTGGACAGATGGGCAGTTTAAAGTGTTTGATTTTGAATAGTCTAAAATTTAATTTCGCGAAATAGAAGGTTTTAAATCAATGCAAAATGAATAGTACTGAAAATAGCACTTAAAAGAGGAACGGGTGTACATTAGCTTAGATTTTAACTCTTCAAAACAAAACAAAATTGTAGCCCCACAAAATCAGTTAATAAGGTTTTCGAGTAAAAAGTAATTTGCTGAAACTGTGTCACGTTCACCATACGCTCTGTCACACTGCTGTGTTTTCTGATTAAAAACCTCTGTGAAATACGAAGCTTTGGGCGCTTTTGTTATCATTTTTTGTTCAGGAGGGATCTAGAGATCATTAACCGGAGCAGCACGGCACGTAGGATGCACGTTGGGGGAAATAACCCACAAAACGGCCGGTAGAAAGAGTACTAAAGAGTACTAAAACCGTCTGAAATGTTCAAACCGAGCAAGGTAACCCGCAGGTCACCCCGAGGTGAAGCCACCCAACCCTTTCCCTGTTGCTCTCCTCGTGTCCTGGAGGATGCTCCGACCTTCCTCCTCCTGCACAACCAGTGCCCCGCACTCTCCTTGTGCTGCCACCAGGATTTCTCCCCTTCGCTGCCACGGCAGAGGTCAACCCCGAAAGGTAATATTCATTTTCTCACTTATTTTTTAACCTGTGCTGCTAAAAACCCCCTCTCATCCCAGACTCGTTTCGAGCTCCACCAGCATTTGATGTACGCTAAGCCGAAGTTTAAGCAGGGGCTTAATAAAACAACTGCTTTTTTCCGATAAAAATGCCCCGCCTTGTCAGAAATAGCGGGTTTTATGGAATGCCAGGGGTTGGCACTGAGAGCCAGAACGTGTTTCACCACGATCGTGCCTATAGCCTTAGCCGGTGAGTCACGGGAGATATTAAGTCTGGTTTAAAGGCAGGTTTTATTTGCTTTTACGGCTGCATTTTATCTATAGGGCACTCCATCCATTGGAAGCAATATTATAAATTGAAAATCCTAGTTAGATACTTGGAAAGCGAGAATTCCGCTCTGTTGCCCCAGGGAGTTACTAGTTACTACAAAAAGCCTCTGGGAAACCCAAGAGATAAATCAGCTGGTGGGTTACCTGCACCTCACTGGGTTTGTAGGGGATAAAATGTGTCTCGCTGCTGGGGTGTGCTGTGGGGCAGCTTCCCTGCAGGGGTTTTTTCATGAACTGAGAGAGGAGAAAATTATTTCAAGCGATTTTCATTAATAGGGAATCTTTACACCCAAAAAGGATTGTAATATCCGATGCGGTTTCAGAAATCACTTCTGTGATTTATTTTTTCCCCCCTCACTAGCCTGGCAACATCAAAAAAAAAGTCCAGTTTTACAAATTCCCACATTTGTGAAAATGTCAACCATAACGTAGACCAGGAGACACAGAAGTGCGGCGCGTGTGAGACGGAACGAAATGTTTTTTGGGAGCGTTTATTGAGACATAAACCAAGCGAAAAGCGAGCCTCCCCGGCGGGAGCAGAGACTGCCCCGCTGCAGCCCAGGAACGGGCAGTAAACAATATAGTACCGAGAGGAGAGGTATAAATAGCAACAAATACAGCAAGCACAGAAAAAAAAATGTGAAGCAAGGGAGTGTAAAAATGTAGCTGCACCAGGATTCGTGCTGCCCAGCTCCGGGGAGAGAGCCCTCTCCCCTATTTCAGTTACACGGATGAGCAAAGCTCTTACACTTGACCTTTGTTTCCAAATCACCCTCGGAACAACGGCGGGGGCTGACGAGCTCCTTTGGGAAAGGGGCAGATCCTAAAAGGGATCCTACAGGGAAGGAGCGGGGCTGAATCTGCGGCGGGAGCACCCCTGGGAAGGGGGGAAGAGCCGCTCTGGGGCTGCTGGGGGGAGAGAGGGGGGGACAGGGACGAGGCAGGGACCAGGCAGGCACATAGAGCTGGCCCTGGGGAGCGTAAATTATAAGGTATTTGAAGGTGAATCCACCCCAGTCGCCGGGGCAATAGATGACTGCACACTTAAGTACCCGAAAAGACTTTATTTCCAGCTTTCAGTGTGGGGAGAGGAATGAAATCCCTGCTTTATTCCATGGTGGGGGAAGAAATTGGCTTGGTGGGAAAAGCCACCGCATCCTTCTCGTGAAGAAAGAGTTAAAGCAGTGGAAAACCCCCCGCCTGTGAGCTTCGGCAAGAAGGAGAAGGGTCTCTTCCACAAACGTACCTGGCAAGTCACTGGGCAGCCAGAAGCAACCCCACGTTATTATCTATTCCCTGAAGTGCTGAAATTCCCTGGAAAAAAAGAGAGAAGAGGGAAGCTGCCGCGTTTATTTGTGAGGGCTGTCAGGCTGTGCGTGGCCGGGGGGGTAGGAAAAAAAAAAAGGAAAAAAAAAAAAAAAAAAAAAAGAAAAAAAAAAAACAGAAGGAAAGAAAGAAAGAAAGAAAGACAGACTGATTTCTCACCAAGGCTCAGAGCAGCCTGCCCCACCACACACGCATTCAAAATGTCGGTGCTCCCGGAGGGCTCGGCCGGGCTCCCCCGGGGAGGGGAGAGGGCCGGGGCGGGCGGAGGTGCGGGGCAGGTCGG